CAGAGAGCCAGTGTTTTTGACCAACAATCTCTTTTTAGGTTGTACTGCCCTCTGCTGGGAAGATTTCTTTATTTAACCAAAGTGTCTTTAACCAGTGACAACCAACAGATAGTCTCAGCATAAATACATTTTTAAAGAATTCACTCTATGATTGTGTGTCTATCTACATTTTAAACAAATCAGAATACGTTATATCTAATAAAAACTGTAACTAATCTGTGTGTGTAAATATAAATATATACATTTAAAGATAAATCATAATAAATCTTAATCGTGACGATTATGTCGTCTAGAACACAATGACCTCTTTAGATAATCTCTCTCTTCACCTTAGTATGCATTACTAGCCAACCACCTAAGTGTATGTGTGTGCGTGTGCGCACTGCAGTTTTAGTTGACAGATTGCATAACATTCATGAGATTATTTAATATGCACTTTGAGTGTTTACATATATCTCCCCTGTCTGTGAGTTTAAGGACGGATTTGATGCTGTCTCTAATACTGATGTCGCATATCTGATATTGATGATACTTAAATTAATATCTTAATCCTCTCGTGTGCTGAATTCGATGCTGAATATGGATTTGGAAGTGTTCTCTAACCAAATGTTTTTTTTTTTATAATCAACATTCAGACCTTTGAATGAATTGACAGCTCACACGCCAGAGGAAGCCCTCCTCAAGTTGTGTCTAATACTTAATGTTATTCAAACCTTACTGAGCTGTAACTCATTAACATGAAGCTTAATTATTCCCTGTCTGCTGTCTTCCTACCTCTTAATTTTGAACATTAATTAGCAATGAGAAATAATCTCAAACATTTGATCAAAGAACAATCATACATCAGTGATTATAAATCAAGCATGAAGTTACGACAAACAGAATTCTCTGTTTATGTGAAAAGAAAATTCATGCTATATTAGAATGAGAACGCACAGTGTTCAAATAAAATAACATAACAAAAGACTTTTGATTCTATGAAGCATTTATTGTATACCCTAGACCAAATCATTGCTTGAAAGTTGGAAAATGCTCTTGATGTGTGTGAATTACATAAAGACTGCTGTCATATCTTTCAGAATTGTGGTACTTAGATGGAATTTAACATTATGACCACCAAGTGGGAGACTATAGTTCCCTAAAAAGGATATTGTACATAGACGCCACAAGCACAAGCACAACTACTCTGTAACCAACACAGAGCCCACAAAATGTGCACTGATTCATGTTCAATGTTAAGCTCAATTGATAGCATTTGTGGCATAATATCACAAAAATTATTTAGACTTAAAAAAAAGTTAAGTATTACTATTAAGCACTTACAATAGGGACAATTTCTGGAGGACTTAAAGCAGAAAGGTGAAGCAAAAATATTTACATTAATTCATCTGTTAAAATGTGTGTATTATTCGAATTGTGAAGTTGTAAATCATTTTTAGTCAATGAAGTTGGTAAGTTTGATATAACTTTACACAGAAAAGATTTTATCACATTAAAACCATGTTAACAAATATTTTTCACATCTTGTGTCTCTACTACTAAAACAGTAAGTCATTTAACATTGACGAATTGGCCTCAAAACTGATATGGTACCAAATGCTATCAGTTAAGCTCAACATTTATTGAATATTCCTTTTAAAGCTTAAGAAACTGATGGCATCATGAAAGTACTGTAGTTGTTGTTTTTGTTTTCTCCATGATTTTTAAGTCAGTTTTTAATCAGGAGTTAAACCGCTTAGTCTGCTTAGTTTTAGTCTTTAAAGCAGCCCCCCTGCTGACTTGTCCAGTTAGATTGTGGGTAAAATACTGAAGCAGACATAAACCTGTTACCATCGCGTAATGTATTTCTTCACATTTCTGATGTGGGATTACAGGAAACATCACAAGTAACAGTGGTGCAGAAACGATAAGACTGAATTTACTGATGTGAATAAGTAAGGCAGTTCACACCATTTTAATATAAATATCATGTATAGAAAGTTTATATAGTTTGTTGGTTCACACATTTCAGAATTTTTAGTGTTTTGCGTACCACACAATTAAATAAGCACACATATCTGACAGGATACTCAAAGGAAAAACAGTGTTAAGATGACAGGTTTAAATGTGAACCTGGTTCGGAAGTTACAGTACCTAACATGTGACTTTGCACTCACATTTGCCACATGACACCATGTGACTGCAAGACCCTATACATACAGAAATACAGAGAGAGAGAGACTGAAATATGGTTTTAGTCACTGAACCTAAAAAAACTGGGTTGGTGATATTTCATATAGCGAGTGTGTAGGGACTGCAAGACCCTATACAAACAGAAATACACACAGAGAGAGACTGGAATATGGTTTTAGTCACTGAACCTAAAAAAAACTGGGTTGGAGATATTTCATATAGTGAGTTTTAGTGTTCATTGGACTATGCAAATGGCCAACCCGTGGAGGGAATGCTGGATTAGCTCAGTGAATCACTGCATGCAATATTTAGCACTAATCTGTACTCTTAAATCCAACAGGCCCTCCTCATTGCAATGAGTTACACATTAAATCTGTTCTGAGAAACACAGTGGAAGTAAGTCATCACAGTTAATCCGTCACCTGACTCCAAATAACTGCCAAAATAATGCTGTTGGTTGATGAAACATTCATCACACACCCGGTTTTCGCCACTTAGACTTTACAAAAGTCACTCTGTACTTTGTTTCAGATCTGTTTGAATCTAAATAACAACCTAGCATCATTATATTGATAGTTTTTGTCTGTACATGATGTATTCAGATGAAAGATAAGGAACCTCCTTTGATTCTTGGTTATTTTGAACATATGACTCAGAAGTCCTACTGAAATCTACTGTTTTTATTTTGGGATAAGGGCAATTCTTAATTGTTCACAATGGTGAA